AAACATCCGAGTTGTTTTCTTGCTTAGGTACTCCACATTGGCTCTTTGCCATGCTTTGCACGAATCTGATGTTAACAAGGAAATGTCTTACACCTGCAACAAATGCAACAGCTCAAATGCGAAATGGCATTGTACAACATGCGATGTAAGCATTAGTTTGATTTCTCAACAATCGTTGCACTACTTTTGCCTTACCAAAAATTTTCTCAGGACTTCGATCTCTGTGAAACATGTCGCGAATCTGTTCCTCATGAACATCCTATGGAACAGATTAAACCACTCATCGGTGCCGAAAGTGGAGACTCTAGCGGTAGCAATCGGTTTGAAAGCATCCAGGTTTGTACTGACTTATTGTTTTATCAAAAAGGAAAACTCAAAAAGTGAAATTTGCTATTTTTTTAGCGTTGCATCCTCTCGTTGGTTCATGCTTGCCAGTGCAGAGACGCAAATTGTCGTCGTGTATCTTGTCATAAGATGAAACGTGTAGTACAGCATACCAAACTCTGCAAGAAACGAGTCAATGCAAGTTGCCCTGTGTGCAAGCAACTGATTGCTTTATGCTGTTACCATGCGAAACATTGCAACAGGGATTCGTGCTCGGTATGATTTTTGGTAAAGCCGTAGGGCTAGAGAAGGAGCTGAGTTATGTCATTTCAGGTACCGTTCTGTATGAATATCCGCCAGAAGTTGGCCGAACAAAAACGTTCGATTGCCAGACGTGCCGATATGATGATGCGAAGACGTATCGATGGACTTCAAGCAGTTGCTGGAGGTGGGCTATCATGAAATAGATCTTGATTTCGATTGCAAATGAGTGAATCAACCTTAAGGTTTCATCACCACTGCTATACTTGTTTCCATATGCAAAGAAATTATTTGCTGCATTTGCATTCCAGCGAAAAACCGCATATTTATTTATCTATTCATTTATTTATTTATTTATCCATTTATTTATTTCAATACACATGAAGTGCGCCAAAAAATGGAAATAGAAATAAGTATCATGCTCAAGTAGTCGCATCACAGATAAACTAGATAAACGAGATGG